AGATGAGAAGAGGAGCCTTTCTTAATTTTTCTTAAGAATTGAGTCTGCTAAATTTAAATTTAGTGTTGTCTTAAGGTTAGTGTAACAGAATCACTTAAAACTAGAGCTCCAATAATGTGGTAATTACAGTAGGCTATAACTAAAATCAATTGTAAATGAAAAGGTAGTTTAGTTGCATTGGCTCTAACTACTGCCACAATACCAAACCCATAGCATAGTCAACTAAAGGCAAACCTAAACTGCAATGCACTTTAATTTGGTTATTTAGATCAAATGTGTGACTCTCAATGTTTAATGGTAACTTGAATGCTATTTGAACACTAGTTTTAATAATTGTATTAAGAATGATGAATAAGAATGAATTAAGAATGAGAATGAATGCAATGCCAGTGGCCCTCAATGTTACACTTCTTACTTTTAAATACTACTTATACCGAAATAGAAATGTATTTGATTTAAAGTATTAACTTTACTTTGTAAAAAAAAAATTTTAAGCTAATTTTACTACAGTTTCAGAACCACTGTGTGTAAAAAAGGTTGTTCATTTGCATGTTAATCCCACAACTTCAGGTTTCCCTAAGCAGCATACAATTGGCTCAGTACCACTTCATGGAGAGTAATAACTAAAAAGCCAGGTATCTCTCAGCTCTTAGCAAATGAGTAACCCCTGCGACCTCTCAAGCTCACCAGCAGGCTAGGGGTACCATGAGGAGAAACATATCTATGCTCCAGTTCTTTTTGAACCAACTGAGGGGCAGTGCAGAGCTTGTAGCATATCAAAGGAAGAGTGGCCTGACGGGAGTGTGTCTGCACTTCCACATTCTTCCTCTGTGCAGGGGTCACTGCTGTGTTTCTACGCGTAAAGACAAGTACCAATTTCAGATTAATATTGTTACGATTACTGGAGAAACTAATTAACACCTGGCTTCTGTCAACAGCTACAGTTCTCAGGGAGTTTTAAAGCAAGAAAGGAACCGGGTTGGTTACAAATTTGTATTACTGTAGGTCTGAGACCGCTTTTCCCTTCGTAGGAATTATATGAGATTTAAATACTTTGTAGTAGTATGGGGTCTTCAGGTTAGTCAAGACAGACTTTTGGGACGACTCTTTTGTAAATAGCACAACTAGTATGTTGTATGTTAATGCTGTCATTATTAGTTGTTTAACACAGTGTGCATGATTTATTATTCTTTTCACCAAAGCTGTGCCAGGGAATATTGAACTCAGGTGCCTCTAATTATACCGCTCGGGTATATTGTTGGCAAAATCTTTAAAATGTATTTTATTTTAATCATTGACCAGTCCGCTGAGTCATCTTCTGAGTCATTTTTGTAAGATCAAATTATTGGTAACAATACTGTTTTGTAAATTTGCAGGAAGGTTTGATTGTTTTGAGGAACATTACCAAATAAGACCTAATCTGACTTTTGTAAAAGTTGTGTATAACCTCTGCACCTACACTTTATTTGGAGCTTCACTCCGGCACGGCTCCATTTTAGGCTGTTACTGTTCAGGTACCCATTGGCACAGCTCCTGTAACCTTTCTATAACATGAAAAATGTAACATGTTTGTTCGCAACTTTAAAAATACATTGAAAGTAGACCTGAAACATGCACAAAGGGAACAGGGTGCAGAGCCTCATGATTTGCTGTGCTCACTGTCTTTGTAGGCTCCAAAAAAGTCCTAATATTGCAGACTAGCCTTTTTTAAATTGGGATTTCGTAACAATTTTCATGTAAAAATTGCCAAATGGCAGTCAAATATACAGTATGTATTAAGACTACCAGAATATTTCCCAGTGAATCTTGACAAATGTTGAAATGATGAAAGTCCCCAAGCAACAGGCGATTGGGAACTGTGCTGCTGGTGGGGTTCTGACTAAGGGCGAGGCTCTGTCTGAAACATGGCTGTGGAAAATAAGACACAGGATGTGCCAATGATTTCTCAAGGGAAGAGGTTGAGAATCTCGGTTACAAAACTCAGATGATTAATGAAGACAATGAGTAATGAATGATTATCACTAACAAATTCATAATGGATTCTGAAAACTTGAATTATTATTAATTATATTATATTATATTATATAATAATTGAAGTGACTGAGTTTACGATGAAGTAATTCTTATTCATATCAATTTAAAATGCCCTTTGTAACTTAAATCCATAAGAGTATAGAAAAGTATGCATATTTAATATACTATATTCTGTACATTAGCTATTCTACCAAGGCCAAGGCAAAAAAAAAAAAGAGATCCACCTCCTTCAGATTCCCAATTTGACACTGGGCCTCAGTGAGATGAAGTGAAAACATTTCTTAAAGAATATGTGAGCAGCCTATTCTTGATTCTGGAGAAGATTCAGCTCACATAAACAATACAAAATCAAAACGATTTTTTTCCATGAAGTAAAATGACAAAGCTTGAGAATGATCAATTTCAGAATAAACATTCCTTATGTATACATTTTTTAATGAGCCCCCTATGAAAATGATGAAGGAGACAGAAGACCTCGAAAACATGTCTGGAAACAATTACTTAATGGAAGCCTGCAAAACTGTTTAAGAAAAGATAACTAACTTGAGTATTCAGTTAGCTGGCAAAGATACATAGTTCAGATGTTTAATCATTTGCCAATTGGAAATTGAAGGAAAGATATAATTCTTTGCGAAAAACAAAGTTAAGTGATAGACTTTCTAAGAGCAAAGTTCAATATAGCCTTTTTTTGCTAATGCCACAGAGACTTCAACCTTCTTTTCTAAAAACTGGAAAGCAAACTTTCTACACTACATTTAAAATCACCCTTTATTAAATGCTAAAGGTAAATCTTATTTTTGTGAGTGATCACCATACTGTAACCAGAAATAGCTTTAGATTAGATTCACTCAGCAAATGTCCACAATGAAGGGACAAGAAGTCATCGCCAGACAAAAATCTGCAATTAAGTAGCAGGTGTCTGAATTTGCAAACAGTGGATGGGCTAAAACCGTGATTTTGATATGGGGACTAATTTTAAATCCTTCAATGCTAACTCTACAAAGTTGTTTAGCTCACCCCTACATGGATGCAGAATATAGCATCTTAACTTTTGATTCTTTTCATTTCCTTTCATATCAGAGCTCTGCATCAACAACTATCGTCCAAGGAATACTGTAGGTATTAATGTTGCAATGACAGAAAGTGTCATGTTTTAATGAAATAAAATAAAACAGATGGGCCTATTGCTGACAAATACTCAGATACTGTACTTACAAAACTCATTAATATAACACTTCAGACTTCCTATCCCCCATGAAACTTTAAGCAACTGTGCCTTTATTTTGTCACTTGTGCCACAGTAAAAACCGTCAGATCAAGGAGGGTGAGGAATTGGCCATGCATATGAATGAACCTACTAAATATCAATACCCAGCACTGCACTCAGAGATCCAAGCAGCTGGGGCTATTTATCTAACACCCTAATTTGAATTGGAACTTTATTATTTGACAACTTCTGCCAATTGAAATAGCAGTGGAAAAACTAATATAAAACACTACAATTAAATCAAAAACAATAAAATAAAAGGGAGATTAAAAATACTTTTTTACATTTTTTACTACTTGAAATACATGTAGTAATTCAATAAGGTAAATTAGATTTGCAATAGCATTGTTTATGTAACCACATTGCAAGGATTTAATACAGTATTTGTTAAAATACAAATACAGTCTCTAATTCACATTTGCAGCATATATTGTTCTGATAAGCAATCACTGTCAAGCAAACAATTATAAATAATAAATTGCATAAAATGCATTGCAAACAGTGATTGTTACCAACAAGTACACATTAAAAAGATTACATTTTGTTTCAAGTTTGAAGGGATCTTCCCATGTTAAATTATATCTGAAGGGTTGAAAGGTTGAATGGGAGGAAAATTTTGAAATCACTTTACAGTAACATTGTAACAGTAACAAGTTAACAGTAATAAATATGTATAAGAAATGATTAAGTGTCTTATACAAAGAAAACAAAATAGTTCAGGCTTACACACCATCTGTAAAAATCCATTTTATCTTCTTATTGTAACTTATCTTTTGAGGAATAGGAAAGGATAATAAAATACCATTGAAATACAATATGCAGTATAAGGGAAAAACTATTTGTAACCCACACGACCACAAAGCTACCCTGAAAACAGTGGATATAATCTCCAAAGAATTAACCTTTTTATATTGCGTATTAGGGGGGTCTAGTTTTATCCACACCTACTTTTACCTTTTTTAGGTGGTTTTCTCTTTTATTGTTTGAAACCACTGACTACAACCAAATGTTTACCTTAAGATGGTTATAAATGTTTGTGAGAAAGGCTTACAAAGACCATTCTCATAAAAAAAAGAGTTCAATATCAGACATCATACATTAGGCAAAGAGATCAAGTGTGAGAAAATTCAAGGTCTTGTTTGGAGTTTTGCAGCAGACACACCGTTCATGTCTGGCCACTCATGAGAAAGCAGAGAGCAAAAAAAGAAATATTTTTGGGGGTATGCAACCTAAATGACTGCATTCTGAAGAAAGAATGTATGGATCATTAGGATTAAATCTCTACTGACCAATTGAGGAAAAACTGGATATGAATGTTGAAAGGTGTGCACAATTACAAGAAATAACAGCTGAAGATCCATAGAAAAAGAAAGGGGAAAAGAAGGTCGAAAATGTCTTATGAAGAATGTAAATAAATCTGTTCCAATGACTCTTGGCAGGAAACTGTAGCAATGCCCCAATTTAATCTTACAAGAGAGGATTTTAGTTACATTTGTCATGATCTGCGTGCAACTCCTTTTTCTCCTACTAAGCTCCTTACCTACGCTTTTCTCTTATTAAATGGCTGAGAGGCTGCTGAAGTGGCTGATTGACCTCTCCTTACAAATGATACACTGTACTATTGCTGTAATTGTCATTATTACCACTGTTTTCATTAACACTAAGTCACACAAGAGAAAGAACCAGATCAATTACTCACAGTCTCTCCAGGGACAGCAGGCCAAAGAATGAGCCATTTTTCAGCAGAGAGATTTTGTTATTACTAAGAACTCTGCAAGAGGAAAAAAAAAACAAAGAAAAATAAGACCATGTTACAAAGCATACATTATGAGCCAAATCTCTTATCCAATTTTTGTCGTTTGCATTAGTTTTATAAGAATCTCATAATTTAGGGCTGTGTAGCTAACATTTATTCACCATTCACTAAGAACACTCAGATATAAATTCATGTTTACCATATAATTTATGACATATTCAAATTATTTCCAAGTTGGAATCTATAGGCATGGTGGCATGAAACACCAATAAAGCACATGTAGGTCCTTTGAATCACTGCTGCAGGAAAAAATGAATCTGTGTGCCTTGTCATGACTCACAACTGCACTTTGCCGCTCTGTGAAAATGCTGCTCACTCTTCACTGAAGGAGTATTCATAGTTATCTGAAGAATAAAGCTTCTCCTGCAGCCAGGCGCTCATTGTAATGTACAGGGGCCAAGTATTCACAACTAGAAATGGGTTTGTTTCAAGCATAAAGCCACAAAAAAAATCAGCCAAGTGGAAAAACCCTGTTTTGGGAACTCAGAACAGGTTCACACTAGTAAGAATACAAACTGCTCATGTTTGAAAAGGACTATTAAAAGCATGAAAGTTAATCCTTTTAAGTTAAAATGAAACGTTTTACCAATTTTGTATGTTATGCAAATGTTAAAGCAGAGTAATATACATGTAGTTACTCCTTATAAAAATGCATTTATGTTGTATTTTCAGATTTATCAGTAAAGCAATATTTTTTTTTTTTTACAAAAAGCCCTGTCTCATATTGCTGAGCTACAATAAACATGATTGGACTGCAACAGTACAGAAACTGTTTTACATGCAGAAGATTATACAGGCTGCTTGGCCTTCCTGTCCTGGAGACGCCTAAGTACACCAAGGTCAATGCTTTCCGTTCTCTTTTTTTTTTGTGAAAGGATAACATTCTTGAGGTCAAACGTCAGAATAACAAATGTTGTTCAGCACAAATTATAGATATTCATCCATTAGAAAGTCCATTCGTCATCTACGACCACATGAGAATGCAAATATAAAACAAAGGACCTAAGGTTAGGCGATGTGTATTTATTCAATCAAAATAGAAATATTTTTTTCTGCTCTCCAGTATTTGTATTAATCATGTTCTTTTTTTCTGGAAATACTTTCCATACAGGATATTATAGTATTCAGTATATTACACCAATATTATAGCTGTATATGCCATGTCTATAAGTTTACACAGAAAAGGACCATGTTATGAACTTGAAATAAATACCACATCCTCTTATTACTGAAACCACCAACGATATACTAGTTCAGCTATTGGGTATATTTAATATAAACTTCAAAATACTTTTTCTTTTTAAGATAATGGCTTTAAAAGCAAAATTGAAGAATACAGGATTGGTAATGTCAAGTGCCTGAATATTCCGATCAATGACATCAGGAAAGTAAGATGCAGTGACTTTTATAGATCTTCTAATTATTGGAGAACTGCAGCATCCAAATTGCTGGTGCAGAGGAAACATTTTTCAATGGTAAAAGCATAATGAATAGCACTAAAAATCCTCCTTTAGACACAATAACATTTGAGTTTACTACTGTTGGACAAAGGTGAAGCATGATGGTTTCCTTGGCAGTCCACTGAAGTGAAACAGAATGAATTTAGTCCCTGGGCACTGAGAATTTCACCAGCCAGCTTTTGTATTCACTTCCATAACCACATGAGCACATTCATTAGCTACACAGGACAAAAGGAGCAGAAATCAAAGTAGGGATAATTGAATTTTAAGTATGTACAAGAATGAGTAATATTGCCATTTTCTGGCATTCTATGGTGCATGCAAAAGCTGGTGTTCAGTGTTTAAAAGCCATTGACAGTAAAGGGCACTATATTAGTTTCTAATTGCTGTTTTACGTTTTGTATTTCTTGCAACTACTTGCAATAAAAATACTATTTTATTACTTGAATCATTGTTAATTTCACAAAAATATTTTATTAATTAGTTTCAAAGGTTTTGAGTAAACGAAGAATGGGTATATATTTTTTGTTGGAGGAGAACTTGGGGGGGACAGCTTTTTCAATTAAACAAAGCCAAAATTAAAACTAGGATTTGCAAAAGTAAGTATATATTTGTAGACGCTTCACTTATTTTATGCAGATGAATACATTCATTATAATGAACATGAAGCATATAATTAAGTTCTTGTATGCTACTGTACATAATTTGGTAAAGTCACTGTATCTTTCACAAATCAATGCAGAACTCCAAACTTAAGTGTTAACTTGGGTGATGAAACTCATCAACTCATTACAGTGTAATTTTAAATCACATCAAATCAACTTTTTTAACTTTAATCCATGTCTTTAGGATATCTTGACTTTGACCTTTGTTCTGGGTTCAAACGATGCATTATACTGTATATTGTCCTTTTAAAAAGCCTTCAGGCTCACCAGAAGCAGAATGACCTGATCATGTATGTACAGGAAATAAGGCTCTAACTAGGCACATTTAAATACACATTTTATGTTTTCTGCCACTGTATACTTGATATACATTACATATTTCTTTAGACTCTGTCTGCTCAGTATGTAGCCACTAGTTCTAATGCTAGACTCATAGTAAAGTACTATTTCCTGTTCTTAGTTTAAAAAATAAAAATGAGGTCAGCTGCAGTTCTTAAAGATTTTGAACCTATTAAAAGATCTGATTTGTTCCTTTAAAATCAGAGGTCAGAAAAGCTTCCAAGAGAAAGATTCTTTATACTTAAGAACTTCCTTTAAATTAGTCATGTAATTTATTGTAAAAGTGAGCCTGAATTTTAACTAACCTGCAACAGTTTATTCTTTAAATAATGCAGTAGTAATTACTACTTTGTAAACACAACACAATGAAGTGTGCTGGCTACCATGCTGTGTCAAAGCAACAAGAGTTAAACATTTTTGTCACAAATAACAGTGCATCCATATTCTGTAGACTCTGACATGTGGTAACATTTATAAATGCACTGGCTACGTTCTCAAAGGTGACTCAAGCATTGGAGATGTTTTTGCCAACATAAATCAAAGTTACTTATAAAACTTAATGGTCATGTAGATGCAAGCACTTACATAGCCATTTCAAACGACACTGGCCTATTTAAAAGAAGTCACTGTGGTGGACAAAGACAGGTACTTGTGAATAGGCACAGTCGAGAAAATGCTGACATTGATTGTTACTAGACATAGTTTGACTGTACAGTACTATGTTCACCCTGCCTTATCTAGATTTTCAGCATAATCATAAGGACATTACTGGAAACCAACTAGTTCTTTAAAAATATAAAAACTAGAGCAGCTGCATTACTTAAATAGTAACTGATTCACAGAAATCTCAGCCCATCAGTCCTCCAGAATAAGAGGTACTTAGGATAATGGGTGCCAAACAGAGTGCCAAAAGATTTGCATAAGAAGCACGCAGTGTCATATCTTGCAACTTTTAATATCCTTAAGGGCTCTTTTGCTTGCTTGTGAATATCTATGAGGAGCTTTTAAAATTATTTGGCCTCTGCTTATAAAAATCAAAAACCATGTAGTGTTTACACAATAAAAAGGGTCCCTCAATAAGCATGCAGGCTTTTTCATACCACTTTACTTATCTGTGTAATATACTGAAAGTTTTATGTAAGCAAAACAGTATTGTACATGCCTGTTACGACCCTAAGTGTCTAGGGGTAAAGGGGTGTAAAATTTAGGATAGTTTTTGGATGCAGGTGGGTTCTGGTGAAGGACTTATGAAGCGCGATGACAAGGGTTAGTGCAAAAGTGATTTGTTCTAAGGTGAATAAGTGACTGGTCCTGTATTTCGTACACAATAACACACAGGGTAAGGGAACTAGAGTGGTGCCAAAGAAAAGAAAAGAAACAAAATAAGGCTAAGAAAGTGAGGGAAAGCTGACCTAACTACAAAAGAAAACCCAAAACACAGGGTCTTCAAACACCCTACAGTAGCTAACCTTCACTGACTACCCAAAAATATACAAAACAAACGGCACTCACCCGTACTAAACTAGTGTGACTAATACAAAAATCAACTAAGTGTATAGAATGTACCCAACAACCTAAACGAACCCTTAACACAAAAGTTTACACAAATGCACAAGTGAACTACAAATACCAACGAGAGTAGACAAGTAACTGGGTACAAAAGAACACAGAGGTTGAACATATAACAAGTTTGGGCAACGTAAGGGCAAAACAAGGATAAACATACAAACAAACGAAAGTACAAAGACTAACAGAGACCAACAAACTAACAAAGCCAAAGCTATGTTTCTTTCTTTAGACATTTATTTAGATATTAAGCAGCTTTCTTGTGCTTAGTGTCTAAATAATCTGACATAGTCAGTATCTGGTTTGTCCAATACTCCCAGCATAGGCATTATTCTACCCCCTGCCAGGTCATTTCCTAGAATAAAAGTTACCCCTTTAACGGGTAGCAAAGGTCGGATACCAAATTTCACAAATCCCTTAATTAACTCACAGTTCAAATAAACTCTGGGCAAGGGTACCTTCACAATTCCCATTTCGATTCCTTGAATTAACATGCTAGAGTTACAGGAGCTTTCTTCAGAAAACGGCAATGCGTCAACCACGATGTAGGACTGGGCTGCCCCAGTGTCCCTCAATATTTGAATTTCTGTTTGATTCTCCTGCTCTCCTGTTAACTAAACTAACCTTTTCAAAATGAAAGGCTCATAACCAGGATCAGGAGTATTTTCAATTGTCGAAGGAATGACAACATGTGAAACGGCATGGCTAAGCCCTACACTCTTAACTTGCTGAGCACTTTGTTTACGCTTAAGCATTATATAATCAGCAATTTTATGACCTTTTCGGTGACAGTAAAAATGTTCACGCTCCTCTTTAGGACATGTGGGACTAGTTTTTACTGGGGTAGACCGAGACTGGGAACAGGGAATAGATAAAGTCTTCTCCGCATGTGCAGACATGAAAACATTTTTGTGCATGAGCACAA